AAAGTCTTTTGGATTTTAGCCATCCTAACTGGGGTGAGATGGTATCTCAGTGTAGTTTTGATTTGCATTTCCCGGATGCTGAGTGATGTTGAGCATTTTTTCATATGACTGTTGGCCATTTGTATATCTTCCTTAGAGAATCTTGTCTTTTAATTCATTGAACATACTAAGCATAGTTATGTTAAAGTATATGTCTGATATTTCCATTATATGTAATCCTTTCTGGGTTTCTTTCCATTCTTCAGTTGGCTTTTGGTTTGGTTGTCTTGTCTTCTGTATGTCTGGTTGTTTTTGATTAAATGGCAGACACCGTTATAGACACTGTTTTCAGACACTGTTTACAAGATAGTGTATTGGTTTATGTCTGTGCTGTGCAGTATGATAGCCCCTAGCCACATGTAACTATTTACATTTAAATTATTAAAAATTAAGATTTAAAGTTTAGATCCTTGTTGCACTAGCCACATTTCAAATGCTGAGCAGCTATGTGTGGCCAGTGGCTGTCTTATCAAAAAAAGGCAGATATAGAATGTTTCCATCACTGTAGAAGGTTTTCTTGGATCGCACAGCTCTAGAGGATCTTATCTTTCCCTGGAGAGAATTTACTTTTTCTTATGGTCCTAGCAGCATTAGCAATCCCTGATCACCTTAATATAGTTGGGTTTGAGATGATTCTAAATTGGACTTCAGCCCTTTTGAATGCTGGTATACTTCTATTTACCTTTCAGTCTTAGGATGTAAGCCTTTTTAGATCACAATCTAAAGCCTGGAGGATTAGCAGGGCTGCTTCTTTGGCAGGCCCTCAATGCCAGTGTTTATCCCCTCAGCTTGAGAGTCTGTCAGAAAATGTGCTCAGCTTCTCAACCATGCCTTTGGAGTTAACACATGTCTCTAGGAGACAAGCAGGCCCAAGTGTGCAGGCTTACCTCTCCAGCCTTCCCTTCTCCTCCTTGTTTTGAGACCTTGTAATTCTTCTCTGTCTTGATGGTTCTCTAATGTATTCAGACTGAATTTTTAAAAAGTATTTTTGTCCCCAGCCTCTTTATTTGTTAGTGGGAAAGTTTTTTCCAATGATAGTTTATCACAGCCAGAAGTAGGATTCCTCCACAAATGATATTTAATCAAATATTTCAGGGCCGGCCCCGAGTCACTCAGGAGAGTGCAGTGCTGGTAGCGGGTTCTGATCCTATATAAAGATGGCCGGTGCACTCACTGGCTGAGCGTGGTGCAGATAACACCATGCTGAGGGGTTGCAATCTCCTTACCAATCTAAAAAAAAAATTTTTTTTTTCAAACAAATATGCCTAACAATTAATGTGTTTAGACACTTTCACCTACATGGTTCTGTTTGATTCCAACTACAACTTTGTGATTCATATACTTTTTATCCTTATTTAAAAAAGGAGGACTAGCTGGTTAGCTGAGTTGGTTAGAGTGTAGTGTTATAATGTCAAGGTCAAGGGTTCAGACCCCCATACCAGCCAGCCACCAACCCCCCCCAAACCAAACCAAAACAAACAAACAAAAAACGATAAAATTTAGATTCAAAAGAGAATAAATAAACACAGCTAATTGAGGGAGAGCTGAGATTCAAACCCAGGTTCTCAGACTCCAAATCCTGTGTCTGTTGTTTGGCCTAGTGGCTGGCAGTAATAAGTATGCAGTAAATGTTTAATGTATGATAGGTGCAAACATGAAAATAAATCTTTCTTTTTGGTAACTCATGTCATTCTTCAGTCACCTTTTTCCTTTAAAATGAATTCCAGAATGCATCTCCTCTTCAATACTTAAAATACCTGAGCTCCCTAATATTTAAGATAGTTTAAAAGAAATTATTCTAAATATTATATAAAATTTCCTTTATTTATGGGTCTGTATTTTCCATTTCTTTTCCAGTTTTCTATTATGTAGCTTTATCTGAATTCTGTTAACTATGTTCTTTTTCCTCCCCAAGATAACTGCTAAAATACCAAGCACGGCAGTTACTAGACCTATAGCTACTGGATATGGGGTAGGTTTGTGTAAGCTGAAAATATTAAGATGCATTTTCTCATGCATAAGTTCACTTTAGGAAGTTCTAAATAATTCTGGCTATCTTTCAGTTCATGACCCAGATATATTTTCCATTTTAGATAGTTATAGAAGTCTAATTTGATTAACAACTTTGAAAATTCCAGTCATTTTGATTTATAAATATATCAGAAAATATTTTATTACCTTTTTCCATTTGTAAACCCTGTGTTTGTTGATTGATTTCCTTTCATTCTCTACATAATATCACAAAGTCTCATGTGTACTACATTCATATGTTTTATGTGACATTAGATGTCATACAAATATAATAGTGTTTATAATTGTAAAAACTTAATAAATGAAAAAATAAAATTTAAGAAAAGTGTTTCAGAGGCATATATTTAGGTCTTGCTTATATTAGAGACCTTTGGAGGAAAGACATATGTAAAACTCTATAAAAGTAATAAACCTTTTAATCTTGCCCAAATTACCTACAATTTGGATGTTTTGTTTACATAAAATAATAGAGGTATAGGAGAAAAATGGATTAGGTGGAATAGCATTTCCTAGCCTTACAGTAATACTTTCATAGAGGTCAGAAAAGTGGCTTTGGAAACTAGAGGTCGCGGGCACTTGCCCCCATAATGTTCCCTTACATAAGTGAAGAAAGAAAGTAGCCTTCTGCATAACATAACTGTGTCGTATGAAACGTACTTTTTTTTTATAATTGGCCTAAGCATGTATTACTCATAGATTTCATTTTTGGTGGTGTTTCAGAATAATGGAGAGTAAACTATTTCTGTGAAGGGCCAGATTTTTTAGGCTTTGCAGAGACCATTTCATATGGTCTCTGTCACAGCTGTCCAACTCTGCATTTGTAATGCACATCAGCCATAGACAATGTGCAAATGATTGGGGAATGGCTGTGTTCCAGTAAAACTTTATTTAAAAGGCTGCAGGTTTTAGTTTGCTTACCTCTGTTTTAGGGTTTCATAGTTTGATCCTATATCCCCAGATGATAATTAGAAAAAATTATTTTTAAGTTTATTTACTGGTAGAATGAAGAAAAAGTTAAGAATCAAACTTCTATAATTTAGTTTGTAGAATTAAAAGAACGTAGGTGGGAACTGGCCAGTTTGCTCACTTGGTTAGAGCGTGGTGCTGATAACACCAAGGTCAAGGGTTTGTATCCCCATACCTGCCAGTCACCAAAAAAAGAAAAAAGTACATAAATGTTTTTAGGAATACTTTTAACTTAATTTTGTTTACTAGTCCAAGACATCCTTGACATCATCGATGGGAAGACCAATCACAGGAGCTATTCAGGTATCTCTGCCTTACGGTTGTTCATTTTGTGCCTTACCTATGACTTGGATTAATTACCAAAGATTTTTTTCTTTTATGTTATTTTAAAATGTTGAAGAAGATGTTACTTATATAGTGACCCTGATTCTTAAATTGTGAGCTAAAGTTTGGACCATTCTAAATCTTTAGAGGCCAGGTCTCTTTGGATATATTTATTCATTCAGGTCTCAAATGAAATCCTATTGGGAAGTGGACCGGTAGTTTGCTTATATGATGTACTTTGGGACCCACTTTTCCTATGCTACCATTTACAATGTCTGTGGTTTCTCTCTTAGACGTATAAGAGACCAACCAAAAGTAGGGGAGTAGTTAGCTAATAAGCTAATTAGTTTTTTCTTTTCGAACTGAGATAAGCCCAGTTATATCAAGAAATTGAATTTTATAGGGGAAAGAGAAAGTAGAGACAGTATTCGAACTGAGATAAGCCCAGTTACATCAAGAAATTGAATTTTATAGGGGAAAGAGAAAGTAGAGACAGTATTCATATGAGGGTACTCCAAAAACTTTGTGGGAAAACAAAATTAATACGAATTTTTCTGTGAACTTTTTGAAGTACCCTCATACATGAGGAGGCAGAAGTGAGTAGCAGATAGTGATTAAACATCAGGGTTAACAAATTGGCTATATTGAGTTTTGTGTCATGTGCAGAAGTGTGATTTACTTAAGAATACTTTTTAAATGATTCCTATTCTCTGAAGGATGGAGTTACTAGACCCATGACAGCAGTGAGAGCAGCTGGTTTTACCAAAGCAGCATTGAGAGGTTTGTTAATCTATCTCTATTAATAATTTTTTTCAGATCTTTTAATTTTTCAGTTCTGTGTGTATAGATACTATTACAATTTTAAATAAAATCTACCATTCCATTGATTATAAGATGCACCATTATTTTAGATACCATTAAGAAAGGGAAAGGCTAATGAAAACATTCTACATCTCAGTTGGGGTGGTAATCACACCACTGTATAATTTGTCGAATTGTATTAAACTATACACTTAAAATATGTGCATTTTATTTTATGTAAGTTAGAGCATGATTTAAAAATGGAAGGTGAAAATAGTATTTAAATATATGATAAATAATAATTTAAAAATAAAATTATGACAAAAATTAATGTTTGGTATACCAATAAGGAAAATGAGAAAGCCAATACCAGGTTGTAACTCACATGATTGGTAATTTAGAATTCATAATAGGGATAGGTCACTGTGGGGGAGAAAGTAAATGCTGAGAGAGTATCTTATTTTTGTTTTCACAAGTTAACACGAGTTTTATTTACATAATTTTTGTATGTATGTTAAAAATCTTACCAGTTTCCCAACATGTGAAATATGTATGTGGACATGATAAATGTTGTGTCCATTTAATAAATAGGTAAGTGAAATAACTTGTGCAAGGTTTCATGTTTTCATATTTTCTTCAATTTTGTTGGGCTGCAGATTAAATGTGAACTCTTAAATTGTGTTTCAGGCTCTGCCTTTGACCCCCTTGGTCAGTCAAGGGGCCCTGCTCCTCCTTTGGAAGCCAAAAATGAAGATAGGTATGCAAGTCCTTGTGCTGTTGTTTTGTTGCTGCTGCTGCTATTGTTACATATTTTAATTTTATGTTCCAAATGCATAATTCTTAAGTACAGATACTCCTCAGCTTTCTATGGGGTAATGTCCTGATAAAACCCATTGTAAGTTTAAAATATCATAAGTTGAAAATGTATTTGATAACCTAACCTACTGAACATCATGGCTTAGCCTAGCCTACCTTAAATGTGCTCAGAACACTTACATTAGCCTAAAAATCTTTGGGCAAAATCATCTAACACAAAACCTGTTTTATAATAAAGTGTTGAATAGCTCATGTAATTTATCGAATACTGCACTGAAAGTGAAAAACAATGGTTTTGTGGGTACCATTGTAAAGTCAAAAAATCATAAATTGGGGACCATCTGCATTTTAAAAGTTTGTGTCAGTAGGATAATCAAAACATCATTCCTAGTTCTTGGAACAAGCAAAAGAAGCAAGTCTAAGAAAAATAGCAACGTGTGTTCTGTGCGATTTTTATTGTAATATTACCTGACTTGAAGATATGGTCTAAGATTTATGGGTGCCAGTATTGATTCTCTTGAAGTCCAAATGGGGTTGTAAATGTTCTAAGATATGCTTATTTTAAAAGGACATTTTAAAGAAAAAAATCAAGAGAATACACAGGAAGTTAGTTGTCATATAATTATTGAGAAATTTAATTTTTTATAGAATTAACTTAGTTTTGTGCTAGTGTCTAGACAATAGTCAAAAAGCTGGGGTATACGTTCAGCTATAGACACCTACTGGTATCTGACTGCCTTGATGTATATACATTTTACAAATAGTAAGAGAATCTAGCATTTCCTGAGTACTTGCTATGTGCCAGGCACTGTCCCAAGTGCTTTACATATGAAGGTGGCGCTATTACTGTCACTGGTTCATAGAGTGGGGAACTGAAGCACAGAAATCTTCACTTGCTAAGGCCGATAAATGGCGGGGCTGAGATTTGAACCCACTTTGTCTAGTTCCAGAGCTCATGCTATTAGCCTCTACACTATTATGCTTCTATAAAATGTATGTTTTTAAATTGTAGTTCTTAAACCTAATACTTAGGCTGTTGTATAAATTGCATAATTTCCCTTTCTGACTGTCAAAGAACCTCTATAGAAAGTCAGTTTATTTTGTGTCTTAATTAATGACAGCATGTTTGCCAATAAAAGCATGTTCTTTTATTTAAATATTATGTAATTCATGATTCTTTCAGCTGCTAACAACAGAAGGCACTTCAACAAAAGACATGCACATAAGTAATAAGAATATTTATTGGCTCACATAACTGGAAGTTGGGAGGAAGGACAGTTCTGGGGGTGGTTAATTTAACTGCTGAGTAGCATAATCCCTAATTTAGCTTACATTATTTCTCTTGGCTTTTCCTAAGAGCCTGCCCATCATTATGATGCCAAGAGAGTGTTGAGAGTTATAATCTTCATGTGGTTGATCAAGTCTAGCAGCAGAATGTTCCTAGTCTTAGGCCTTTTTTAAAAGCAAAGAAAATCTTTCCAGAAGCCCTCTATGCAAGCAGACATGCCTTCATTTCTCAATGAGAAATGCATCACATGCCCATGGTTGAACCAGACTCTCATGACTAGCTTAGATTCTGCATGCAAGGAAGAAGAGTGGGTAGCAGGCTCTTGTGTAGGTGGGTATCCAACAGTGTCTGCATACAGACTTAATTTTTCTGGCATTTGATAGGGACAGGATAGTTAATTTGAGTGTCGTCATAAAGTTCTCTTACAGATTTTTAACTTTAAAATTTTATATTGCTATTTTAGGTTTAATAATAACAATCTGTAAGCAACATATAAAGACATGTACTAGTGTTTCAGACAACTAGAAAATAGAATTCCGTGCTTTATTGTAATCTTTGTAAAACTGCCATCTATTATGGTCATTGCTCAGAATTTTATGGATCTGTAGAAACTAATAAAAATTGTAGTCTTAATGAAGGTTTCCTCAAAGAATATGACTCTTTAGACAAAGCTACACTGCTAAATTTATTCCTGTATTCTTTTTAAAAGTCCATTTGTAGAGAATTAAGAGAACTACTGTCTATTCAAATATACTTGTAGTAAATTTTATTCAGGTATTGATGTACATTCAGAGTATTGTGGTATTTTGCTGGAAGAAAGTGGTAGCGAAACAACATTAATGTTATTTTGAAATGTGACTGAATTTGGAATACTTGATTTGCTATTAGTGAAACCAGAATTTTTTTTTTTGTCTTTTTCCGTGTCCGGCAACGGATCGCAACCCTCAGTGTTGCCCCCGTACCGGACCGGGGACCGGCAACGGGACCGCAACCTTCGGTGCTGCTCCCGCGCCTCGCTCAGCCAGTGAGCGGGAACCGGTCTGTATGTGGGATCCGAACCCTCGGCGCCGCGCTTCCCAAGCGGCGCACTTATCCAGTGCGCCACCGGGCCGGCCCCTGAAACCAGAATTTTTAAACTTCTTCACCTTGTTAGAAATTTTCTCTGCAGCTTCTTTCTGGTGGTAAATAATTTTTATCTCTTTTATGGGTGGCTTCAGTTTTCCTAGCCATAAGATAAAGTTTTCATTTGCCATAGGCTCTGAAAAAAAAAAATCTGCTTCCTTTTTGGGGTGGCTATATAATAGCATGGGTCCTAGAATATCCTAGTTTGATTTAAATCCTGGTTCCATAATTTACTAGCTTTGTGGGCATGATACTTAACTTTCTAAACCTCAGTTTTCCTATCAGGAAAATGGGAATAATGATAGGACTGTATCAAATGTTATTATGTGAATTAAATGAAAAATTATTGTAAAGCATTTAGTTCAGTGTTAAATTGTACTTGTGCTAAGTATATGTTAGCTATTTTTACTTTTATCATGAATAATTATAGGACGTGGTTATTAAAACAGTGGTACATTTGCTCTTTAATGCCATTTATACATTTGTCTTATCTATGACCTATTCTTTAAAAGCACATAATGGACAATGTTAAAAGTAAATTAAATTTTAGTATAGATTATTAGTGGTTGAATGATTTAAATTACACATGCTGTTTTCTGTAATAGTCCAGAAGAAAAGATTAGACAATTAGAGAAGAAAGTAAATGAGTTGGTAGAAGAAAGCTGTATTGCCAACAGTTGTGGAGACTTAAAATTGGTAAGTTCATAAACTAATAGAATTCAGGATTATGAAGTGTGTCTGCTTTTGTATAATACACACATATGTACAGTATAAATAAGTATTTCGTTTACCATTGACCTGTCTTAATTGACTGAAGCAATTATCTTGAGAACCAGGAATTGTAACTCTCCCTCATAACTTCCAATGTCAAAACAATTGGCTGATTTTGTAATTTTTGACATTGGTCTTTTCACTAGGGAAGAAAATTCAAATGTATTGGTTGCCTTAATCTTGCATCCAGCTGGACTATTGGATTAGACTCTAATATGCTACCTACTATGAGCTTCACACAGTACTAAGTGCTATTTTCTTATCGAAGCCTCACTGAAGTAAACTGCCAAATCATAGTTTGCTTTCTGGGAATCCAACTCTGCTTTTTTAAAAAATTAAATCTTTTCTCTTAATTTTTTTGTTCACATTACTTTGATTGTCATACCATATAAATAAAATTTATGACTTAGTTTTTGGATTAATAAATGCCATTAGAGAAAATGTTCAGTATAAAAAGCTACTTTTGTTCATAGAACTGGTGCTTTTTTATCTAGTTCTTTTAAAAAACAGTCTCATTGAATTTGCGTGGGGTTAGTTTCTCAGTGGAAGTCAACAGAAGAAGGTTCTTGGTATTCTGAATAGGATATGAGCCAAGCTAAGCATCTCTTGTAATATCAGGCAGCAGTTATCCTTGGACTTGTCTGTATTTTGAGCATCCCAGAAGCCAAGCAAAATCCATTTAAATTCCTGCCTCCCAAGATTGAATTAAAATACCCTAAGATTCAAGAGCTGGGAGGAAAAAAGAGATAGTAAGTGGGCATGGTCACACCTAAAGGAAGGTGTGTGATAAAGAAAATTGACTTGGAGAAGATAGACTCTACTTTTCATCCCTCATGCTTTTCCTCTTCTTTCCCAGAAAAATCACACAGACATTTCTATGATGGTGAGCTCCAGTTTAAACAAACACTGTGGGTTCTTTTGTTTTCAAGTGAAGTTTATGGTAAGAGTGCAGAGGGGCATCTGGGGATAGCGAGGATGGAAAATTAATTCAGCCAAACTTCATGTAGATATTTCCCAAATGCATAAAAATTGATGAATGCTCAAGGGAATTTACAGAGTTTAAATCTGATTTCAGGCCTTAGAAAAAGCAAAAGATGCAGGAAGAAAGGAGAGAGTCCTGGTGAGACAACGAGAACAAGTTACAACTCCAGAAAATATCAATTTGGATTTAACTTATTCAGTAAGTATTGAAATGTACCTACTGAGTGAAATTATTTGGGCTAGGATTTGTGGATTCCGGAAGTCTTCTTTCTTTTTTCTTTTATTTTTTAAAATTTTACTGGTCTTCAGGTGCCCAGGAAGAGATTAATACTAAGTACTCTTCAGTTCATGAGACATTCTTGTCTTTGATTTGTTCAAAAATCTCTTCTATTTAGTTATTTAATTAGTTGTTTTTAATAACTTAGTAAGTATTTGCAAACCCACCATCCAATGGCTCTATTTCTTGAAGATTGCTAATATTTACGCTCTATGCAGATGATTATTTTAATGAGATTCTAATGTAGACTTTTGAGTCAGTGATTTTCAAGGACTTCAAATGATGCCAATAAGATAATGTTCTATGAGGATAGTGGGGAAAAAAAAGTTAATACCTCTAATTTCTAGCAAAATTTCTTTAATTCTATAAAAACACTTCCTTGATGTATATAGTGCTGTTTAAAAGGATGTATTTTCAGTGGGTAACGTCTTCATATACTAAACAAATGGAAGAAAAGGGGCATTTGAAACTTTAAAATATTTGATGTTTACTGTTTAAAGCTAATATTTAAAAATTCCATGAAGTCTTTAGATTAGGTGATAATTTATGATGATTTTTTCACCTCTAAAAATATAATCTATAACTTAATAACTTAAATTATAATTTCGTATATGGAGCTCTTACTATACAAATTCTTCTCTGATATAGTTTATGATTTAAGATATTTCCACATGATGTTTAATTTATATTTACAAAGAAAATGTCGTCCACTATCTTGCTTCTTTCTTCTTTCTTTTATCACCAGCAGCATTAATGATACACATTTATTCTTTATAGGTCTTCCTGAGATTAATAGATGGCAAATACTACCTAAATTAAATGGAATACATAGAAAATTAAGGTGAAATTAGAGGACAGCTTTTCCTATCTTCGTGTTCTGGTTCATTTGGAATGAAAGATATTTGTTTTGTTTATTTTCTAATTGGTAGGGTATTTTGATATAAGCAGCTAACTTTGTTATAGGATTAAAATCTCCAGAAAGGTTAGAAGTGAAAGGCACCTAATATGACCATTACGTGTCTTTTTGCAATATTTTCTTCCTTAGGTACTTTTCAACTTGGCCAGTCAATATTCAGCTAATGAGATGTATGCTGAAGCACTAAACACATACCAAGTTATAGTGAAAAATAAGATGTTCAGCAATGCAGGTAGGTGTATATAATCAATTTTTCAAATAGGTTTAGTAAGGGGTGGGAAGTGGAATATTAACATACTTGCTTGGATGCAGGTCAGTGTCATGCTGAAAAAAGAAAACTTTTGTAGTGTTGATTTATGTCTCCTCACTTTATGCTTCCATGTTATAAAATGATCTATTCTGTAAGCAAATTTGTATTTATGACAGGATGTCCTGCTTAAATATACTACTTACATGAAAATCCATACAGATACAAACGAAGAAATATAGTTGGTATGAAGTATGCTGCCTAATAGTAAATAAAAAATGTATTCTGTCCTCATGAGTAGAATGAGACATGGCAGCCCCATAGAACGTGCTTTTCTCTGTATAAATTTATCCCCAAAGGACTATTGTTTATGTTTTGCATTTATGTTGTGTCATTTTTTGTTAGCAGTATTAAAGTTTATCAGAATATCATTTCCCTTAGTATCATATTAAAATATGTGTGACATTATTGAGTCCAATTTTAAAGTGTATTATATTTTTTAAGTCCCATGGTTTTCTTAGAAGAATGTAACTCCAGTTTTATAATGTAAATCAATTATTTTCCAACCATAATAGGAATCTATTTGTCTTAAGTTCCATTTCTTTACAGAAGATTAGTGGGTAGATACATGAAAATAGTATAACTCTTTTAAAGTTAGAAGTTTAGATAAGTGTCTAAAGCTTCATAAGTTCATTTTAGATAAATTAAGGTCATCTAAAATATCATAGAAAAAGTGGAAAAAATGAGAATATTATATGTTCATTCGTTTTTTATTTTTTTAATTAGGAAGATTGAAAGTGAATATGGGAAATATTTATCTAAAGCAAAGAAATTATTCCAAAGCCATTAAATTCTACCGAATGGCATTAGATCAAATTCCAAGTGTCCATAAAGAAATGAGGTAAGTTTACACCATTGTAACTGTGAAGTTTAAGTGTTGTTTTTCCCAAACGAGTTAACTCTTCTGATCTGTCAGTGGGTTAAGCATCTTGAAGTGTTTGCACATGAGAGGTATTAGATTTATGTTATATGTGTAGTATTTTGTTTGATCTGTTCCCTTGTGACTGCTTGCACACATTTGTATAATGACAAGTAAAAGGTTAAAAGCATGCTATGTGATCAAGTGAAATGAAACTAAGCTAATCAACTGATATAGGGGTTAACCCTGCAGGCTTCATGAATACAAGTTAATGCCAGCATAAAATTACAGTAGCAGTCCTCCAGGACGTGGCTGACTCAGACTCTAGAATACAAGGTTAGAAGTTTAAGACCCCCTTTCCTTCTTACTACAGCTTGAGAGTGAGAGGAAGGGGTTATTTCTGAATCTTAGAAGAGGAAGAAGCTGGGATATTTTCTTTAAATTTTTTGCTGTTTTTTTGGCAGCTTGCAAAGCTGGGATATTTTCTATTCCTACAATATTCAGGAGCAGAAACAATAACTTACCTTATGGTCTAGTAATAACTATGGCAACACAGGAAATTTCCAGGATACTTACTGGTCACAGTTTCTTCTAGGCATAGTACAATTCCTCTGTGAAAGTTAACTGATTTGTAAATGCCACCTTTTATGATCATTTATCTTTGAATTTTGCATGATATCCCATTACCATCAACAAATATTATGTATATTATAGAACATAATGTCCTGAAGGTACTTTTAACCTAGGCAAGGCCAAGGATTTGAGCATTTCAGAAAAAGATAATAATTTTAAGTAGCATATGTTAGGTGCTTAATAATCAATAATTGAGACAATGGGTGCTGTAGTAGTTCTGTCGAGGGAGAGCAAGAATGGTCAAGAAAGGCTTTTTTTTTTTTTTTTTTTTGT